ACCAAGAGAGGACAACAGAAAGAGAAGTGAAATGAAAGAGAAAGATCGAGACCGAGAAGACAGAGAGAAGAGCATCTCAAGATCTGACTCAATACTCTCCGCGAATCTCGCACCATCGCGGTTTGCTCAGAGGCTCTCTGATAGCGGCAAATGAAAAACGCCCCCAAAATAGCTGTCGGGTCGAGCCGACCCGACCTCCTCTCTCTTTCGCCGCTTCCCCTCTCTTCTATCTCCCCTTCAGTCTTCCACTCTCGATAATTCACCATTCTACCTCGCTCACATCCGATGTCACATTATAAGACTCTCCGCTCTCTCTCGCCATAATCCTGTCATCTCCTTATCGTCTCTCACTCCGCCTTCTTCCTCTCCTTCTCCTCTCCTCTCTCCAATCTCCTCTCCCTCTTCCCCTTCCCCTCTCCTCCCCTCTCCCTCTCCCTTCTCCCTCTCCCTCTCCCAGCCTCTTTCAAGAGAGGAAGAACGGAAAAAAATAATTCCAGGATATGTTAGAAAGGAAATATAAGTTTAGGAAAGATAGTTTCATTATACACATTACGACGGTTCTTGGTTAAAGACAGAGAAATTAAAGGGAAAAGGAAATTATTGAGAAAAAAAATTGAAAATGTTAGAATAAGGAACTGCGGTAGCGCGCAAATAACATTGAATATAAAAATAGATATTTGAAATTATGATAAATACATTCCTGTGAAATATAGCATATGATTGTAATTATCTCTTGACAGTAATGTCGTCACATAATCAGATCCGTATTTTATTTAACATTTTTAGTCGACTCAAAAAAAGAGTTTTTACTTTGCTGGGGCCGCCTACCAGAAATAGGCAACGGCATTAGTGGAATTGGGCGTTGTCAGACCGTAAGAGTTTTGTGAATAATGCTTGCGTGAGTATTATTTAATTTTTAGCCCGACTGAAAAGCGTGCACTTCTGGTTTATATAAATATGTTTACGCGTTTGGTTGGTCGTATGTTACATATGGGAGAAAATACATTACGAATTATGTATCATCTATCCACTATCTCACTGATCTCTCTCTCTTCTCTTCTCTCTGCCTCCCTCTCTCTCTCTCCCTCTCTCTGCTCTCTCTCTCTCTCTCTCTCTCTCTCTCTCTCTCTCTCTCTCTCTCTCTCTCTCTCTCTCTCTCTCTCTTCTCTCTTCTCTCTCTCTCTCTCTCTCTCTCTCTCTCTCTCTCTCTCTCTCTCTCTCTCTCTCTCTCTCTCCTCTCTCTCTCTCTCTCTCTCTCTCTCTCTCTCTCTCTCTCTCTCTCCTCTCCTCTCTCTCTCTCTCTCTCTCTCTCCTCCTCCCTCCCTCAAATCCCTCTCCCTTCCTTATTTTTCCATTATTATTAGCCCTTGTTTTTATTTAATGACTTGAAGCCAAACGACAAAAACCCTCATGGCAGAGTTCACGTTTTCGACATGTCTTCAGGCACCTCTATGCTTTAAGTCACCAAGTCTTCAAAACCAGCTGTTTAGGGCGATCCTAAATCTCAGCGTGGCACTGACGTTCCATATGCCGAGCACGGCGACCGGGTAGCACTGGGGGGGGGGGGGAGGCACGCGCTTGAAAGGGAATGCCAGTGCCCTTCCCTGTCATGGCTTTTGTATGTCTATTGTCAGTATCCTTCTTGATATACAGATCCGTGGACCGGCCTTGGAACATCCTGTGGGTTCTTGATGGGGTTGGAGGAGGGGGGTGCGTGGGAAAGGGAGAGGGAGGTCTAGGGAGAGGGGAGATAGGGAGGGAAGTAGGGAGGGAGGGGGGATCAAAAGGTTGAAGGAAGAGGAAAAGGTGAAGGGAGAGTGGAGAGTAGGGGGAGTGGATGGGGAGTTTGGGGAAGGGGAGTTGGAGGGATTGGCAACAACACAAGCACTCGCAAATATGTATGTATGTATTGTTAATATTTTGTTATCATTATTATTATTGTTGTTATGTATTGATTATGTTGTTATCATTATTATCATTATTATTATTTGTTGTTGTTATCATTATTATTATTGTTTGTTGTTATCATTATTATTATTACTAATGTTATCATTACTATCATTGTCACTACTATTGCTGCTGTTATAAGTAGCATTAATATCAGTTGTAGAAATATATATTTTATTATGATTGTTATGATTTTCATAAACATGATTTTTTCAGTATTGCTTTTATTGTTATGATGATAATAATAGTTATCATTAATATTATTAATTTCCAATCATCAGAATTATTATAATGAAATTACCCTTTATTAGTCCCACCACCCCCATCGTCATCACTAATATCATCATCATCATCACCACCCTCACCATCACACCATTCCTCCCTGACACCGCGCATCCAGTCTTCACCGCCATTCTGACCTCGGCTCCGCAGGGTCTCCGGAAGCCGTGCTCATAGGCGTTCATGCGGCACGATGATCGGGTCGTGGGTCAAGGTCGCCTCGGTGGCCCCCGACCGGTGGTGGGTGACCTTCCTGGGTCAGTGCATCACGGCCGTGTCGCAGATCTTCATCCTGGGCATCCCCGCCCGCCTCGCCGCCGTCTGGTTCGGCCCCACGCAGGTGTCCACGGCCTGCGCATTGGCGTCTTCGGGGAACCAGGTCGGTCGAGGGGGGGAAGTGTTGCGGAGGGAGGAGAGAGAGAGGAGAGAGAGAGACGAGAGAGAGAGAGAGAGAGAGAGAGAGGAGAGAGAGAGAGAGTGAAGAAGAGAGAGAGAGAGAGAGGAGAGAGAGAGAGAGAGAGGGGGGGGAGAGAGAGAGGGGGTGTGTGAGAGAGAGGGGGTGTGGAGAGAGAGAGGGGGGAGTGAGAGAGAGAGGGGGGGGGTGAGAGAGAGAGGGAGAGAGAGAGAGAGAGAGAAAGAGAGAAAAAAAAAAAAAAAAAGAGAGAGAGAGAGACGAGAGAGAGAGGAGAGAGAGAGAGAGAAGGGGGGGAGAGGGGGAACGGAGAATAGATAAGGATGGACAGATGATCATATATATATATATATATATATATTATATATATATATATATATATTATATATATATACATATACATTAGTACATATATAGTATATATATATATATATAATATAATATTAATTTAATTACATAACATATACAGTATCATATCTATCTATGTATTATACCTATATAATATATACATATATATAATATATATATATATATTATATTTATCTTATATATATTTATATATGAAAACATGAGATAGAAAATAAGCGTGACGTTTCGAACACTTCACGAGTTCCTCCTCAGACAGAACCGAATGGATATATTATATAAGTAATTATTATTATATATCAAATAAACACACACACACACACATGTACAATGTACAGGACAATGTATGGCGATATTTATATTTTGCTACTATTATTCATGGTGTGATAGCTTTTCGACAGAAAGTTCGGACGACCAAACCAAACCAACCCTTTCCTCTCTCAACCCCCATTCACTCACCTAGCACATCACCATTTTCTCCCACGCAAAACAGTCGGGGTTCGTTGGGGTTCCTGCTGCCTCCTGCCATCGTCCCCGACACGACCGACAAGGACGAGGTGGGCACGGGGGGCTCGCCATCATGTTCTACTCGTCGCCGGGCCTCACACGGTGCTCTTCATCACCATCATCTTGGGTGTGAGTGCGCCCCTGAGTGTTGCGTGTGTGTTGTGAGAAGGACAAGCATGTGTGTGGGATTGCATTGTGTGTGTGCGTTAGTGAATTGATAAAAACATACCCTACCCCCTGCAACCAACCACAAATATGTGTATGCGATATCGCGCAATGCGCACTCGCACCCCTCCCCCCCGCACACACACACAATTACCCCCCCCGACACACACAACACACCTGCAGACCCAGACGAAAACCGGCGCCCACAGTAAGCAGTGCAGCCGGACAAACCAAGCACACAAGTCCCAAGCGCTTGGCACCGGCGGCCACCAACCAGCTGTGAATTAAGGATATTAACCATTCAAGAAGCGAGCCATGCACGCCCGCAACTATAGGCCATAGCAGTCACACTTAAAACAGAAGTCGACAGCATGTTAGTCATGAGCGGAGGACCTGCTGAGTGATCGTCCGTATCCTTTCGCCAGAAACCTCGTTAGCTTGTAAAGCGAGGTGTATGTTGGATGCCCTTGCGGTTGCACGCGTCATGACCAGATGTGGTCGGGGGCGTTTCTGAGTGTTTTTTCTGTTCGTTTCGGCTGTTGGGCGAAATGTTTAACAAGGGGCGGGATGTGTTGTTTGGTTGTTGGCAGTGTAAAGTTGTCATTATCATTATTACTATCTTTATTGTTGATTTTATTGTTTTAAATGTTATTGCTGTTGTTAGTATTACTGCTAATATCATCATCATCATCACTTTATCATTATCATTACTAATTAACATAATTAATGTTAATTCTATAATGAGATTAGTAATAGCATAAATGGTTGTAGTAGAGTATCAGTATTATTTTCATAATTATTTTATTATCATTATTTTTATTATTATTATTATCATTATTATTATTATTATCATTATTATTATTATTATTATAGTTGTTATTATTATTATTAATGTTATTGTTGTTGTTATTATTATTGTGTTTTTATTGTCATTATTATTTTTGTTGTTTTCTTGTTATTATTAGTTTATTTATTTGTTGTTATTGGTATTAATGTTTTATTTATCATTATTATTATTATTATTATTATCATTATTATTATTATCATTATTATTATTAATGATAATAATAGTAATTATAATAATATAATAATAATGATAATATGGATAAAGATGTTACTATTGTTATTATAAATTATTATTATTATTGTTATTATTATTATTATTGATATTTTCATTTTTATTATTCTTGTTGTTGTTATTGTTATTGCTATTAATATTGTCAATATTATGTTTGTTGTTGGTATTATCATTTAATATTATTGTAGTTATTATTATTATTATTGTAATTATCATTGATATTGCTCTTATTAGTATTTTTCTTATCATTATTACTATTGCCAGTATTATTATCAGTAGTATTATCGTTGTTGTAATAATTATTCTTATTTTTTTGTTATCATTGTAATTATTGTTGTTATTATTGCTAGTGCTGTTATTGTTGTTATTATAAATTGATGTTATTGTCATTGATTTTAATACTATTATGATCATCATTACTATTATTATATCTCTTGTGAATGTAGTTATTATTTCTTATATCATTATTGTCATTGTTATTGTAATTCACTATGATGATTATTATTATTATTATTATTATTATTATATTATTATTATTATTATTATTTTGTTTATTATTATCATTATAATTACCATTATAAAGAACATTATTATCATCATTATTGCCATTGTTTTATTATTATTAGCATCACCACCATCATCATTATGTAATAACCATTATTATTGTTATTATTATTATTATTATTATGATTATTATTATTGTTATTATTATTATTATTATTATTATTATTATTATTATTATTATTATTATTATTGGTAATACCACCATCATCATATACATAATCATCACGCTGTTATTGTCATTGTTGTCACTGCTGCCATCATCATCCTTAATTCTACATTATCCTTATATCAGATATACTTATTACCTCTTCCAGTGTTTAAGGAATGTCCACCTACACCTCCCAGTGCAGCTGCACTCACGCAAGAAGACTCAGGCTCGTACTTCCATGGTGTTGTAAGGTAACTAAGCGCTTGCTTGTCCTAAGGGCAGTTAAGGGTTTTTTCTTATTATTATTATTATTGTTATTATTATGATGTTTGATATTATCTTGTTATTATTGCTATTATTATTATCATTGTTGTTGTTACTGTAATTATTATTATTATAATTATTTTTATTATTTTTGTTAGCAGTAGTAGTACTTTGAGCTGGAGATAATATGTCAAATCTCTTTTCTTTTATTGGAAAAGGTCCAATCCATTTTTTTATTAAGATTTTCAGTTTCTTTGAAATAGAATATGTCAAATAATATTTTTTTAGGAAAATCCTCCAGCGTTTGATTGGTCATTTGTTGGTTTGAAAACACTTTCCAATTAGTAATGGACTGACTGACTCTGTTTTGCTGCTCACAGGTTGATGAAGAACCCAAACTACGTCTTGCTTCTTTTATCGTATGGAATCAACGTTGGTGCCTTTTATGCCATTTCAACTTTGCTCAACCAAGTTGTTCTGAAACATTTCCCTGTAAGTAGTGGAGAAGATTTATCTTGCTTTATTTAAGCAGTATTGATTATTCATATACTTCTTTATTATAGTCTACTTTCATACTATATTATTGTAAATTCAGAAGATTTGACACCATTTTTGTAAGTAGTAACTTCCATGTTGAAATATTATTGCTGCATTAGAATATTATAAGTAGGACAGTATATATTACAAATATCTATTACAAATTTGCCATATTAGTTCTGTAATGAAGGATTTCACATAACTCTGAAATTCCTTTCGAAGGTAAAGAATTATAGTTCCATAGATATACTACTAGTACAACATATGCATTACATATATACTGTTATTTATTTATTTATTTATTATTAGTGTCCTTTTTTTAATTTAACAGGGTGAGACTCTGAATGCTGGACGTATTGGGCTCCTCATTGTTCTCGCAGGAATGTTGGGTTCTGTTGTGTGCGGTTTTATTCTAGACAGGACAGCAAAGTTCAAGTAAGTTAGTTGCTTTTAACAGAGCAGTTTCTTTGCTTAAGATTGATATTAGTTGTGCTTGTTTTATGCTGTGTTTTTCTCTTTCTTTGTTAGGATAAAGGTGGGAATTTTGTTTAAAGTTATGCAAGGTTTAAGTATTATGTAATCATTTAATAAGGTTGAAATATGTTTAACATTTTCTTGATTTATTGTAAGTGATATTGATAATTAGATTTATTTTTTAAGGAACTTAAAAGGAAAGGACACACACACACTCACTCTCACTCTCACTCTCACTCTCACTCTCACTCTCACTCACTCTCACTCACTCATCACTCACTCACTCACTCACTCACTCACTCACTCAACTCACTCACTCACTCACTCACTCACTCACTCACTCACACGCACTCACCACACACACACACACACACACACACACACACACACACACACACACACACACACACACACACACACACACACACACACACACACACACACTTAGTCTACAATATCTTCATAAAAAAAAAGTAATGAGCTGGCTGTTACAATTATAATTTTGTCCAACAGGTTGGTGACACTGACTATTTATGTCATGTCAATGGTGTTCATGCTGGGGTATACATTCATATTCCGCCTGGAGACGTTGTGGCTGGTGTTTGTCACTGCAGGGTTACTAGGGTAAGTTTACCTCGTTATTAGCCATCTCTGTACTTGTCAATAAAAATGTTATCAAGTTAATATCAGGAAAGCATTATGTTATAGATTATATTGCCATTAATCTCCTGGGTTACATTTTTTTCTTGCTTGCCTTCTTTTCTTTTCATTTCTTTTCTTTTTTCATTGTATAGTAATGGATTTCCCTGAACAAAATGTGGAAGGATAAAACACATTTTACTATCTCTCAACAGGTTCTTCATGACTGGCTATCTGCCTGTGGGCTTTGAATTTGCAGCAGAGTTAACGTACCCAGAAGCTGAAGGTACAAGTTCAGGCCTATTAAATGCATCAGCTCAGTTCTTTGGCATCTTTTGCACCATGGCTGATGGTCAGTTATTAGATAGGTATGTTGATAATGGTGATTCTGCTTTAATGCCTCTATTTTCTTTTATTGCAGAAAGGTATGTTACAAAGAGTTGCAGTAGTGGAAAGGGGGATAAATATATATAGTTATAGGTATAGCTTTTTGGGAGGATTTCATTATTACAAAAATGCAGTCCAATAAGATAACAAATAATGTTCTATTCATATGATATTGATAAAGTGACCCTTCTGCAAATAATGTTATGAGAACATATAAATATTCTAAAACATGATTGTATATTGGAAGGAAAAGCTTTATCTACAAATTTCATATGCATTCAACAGAGCCTTCAGGGTTTTATGAAAAGTTGGTAAATAATAACAATACTTTTACCAAGAAATTAACAAATAATCTACATCATGACAAAAAAGACTCTTAAGGAATGAAACTGTTTTGCTTTTAATTTTGTTTCAAGTATGGTTTGAGCTAATATTCAAATGAGCATTTTATGCACACATACTTGCCATTACATCCTTTTTCAGTTAAAGTGTGCAGAATTGAAAACTACAAGTAAACACCACAGTAATCATCTGACTAACAAAAGTTCTCTTTACTTAATGCACACATGCAAGGGGGACGCAGCACACGTGGTATTCATTTTGTATGCTTTTCTACAGCTTTGGTGATATGGCTGCCAATTTGCTCCTAGTCGTGGTGTTGCTGATAGGCTCCATCATGACAGGGTGCATAAAAGAAGAACTACGAAGACAAGCTGCGCACAAGAAAACAGCCCCATCAGGCATTCAGCCCCAAGTGTGAATTTAGATTCTGTGAGGTTCTATTTCTTTATGGGGCATAATATATACAATGACAAAATCTATGAGGAGGTAGATTGTGTGTGTGTGTGTGTGTGTGTGTGTGTGTGTGTGTGTGTGTGTGTGTGTGTGTGT